CGACGAAAGAAAATAAAAAAAATTGGTTGATCGTGTTTAATAAAAATAATGTCATGTGATGAGGCGTAAAATTGTAATGAGAAACACGTGAACGGAAAATATTTTGTGGTATAGCTACTAATAATTAAAATTGTAACAAGAAACACGTGAACGGAAAATATTTTGTGGTATAGCTACTAATAATTTCCCAATGTTTAAATTCACATGATTTCATAATAATTGTCTTAAGGATAATAATAATACAGTAATAAGCGATTAAATCTTTTCCGCTAATTTCCTAACGCATTTCAATTGTTGATTAAGGATGTTCACAAGCGCCTCACTCAATGATTGGAGGAAAATTTTTAATTAGTCGGAAATTGAATGAATTAACAAAGTGAGTTACCAATTCGATGAACGAATCAGAGAAATAGAACCCATCATTTTTCTTCAAAAATTTACCATTGGTATAGGTCGCTCAAGCATTACTTTTACATTTTTGCATATCAACATAATAAACAACAAATTTCTAACTAGTTTAAAAAATAGCCATTTTATTTTTAATGCTCGAAGCTTTAAAAATAAATAATCGATATCTTTGATACAAATGTAATAGATACGATCCATCTTTTAACCTTTAATAAAACTATAATGAATATAGTATTGCTATTCCATTTTTCGCTCCATATTTAGTGGACAATGAAGGTTATAACTCTTCGAAAACATTTTCATATTTATCTATGCTACTTTCAGCGCGAAGTAACTACTGCAGAATTACTATAGGTTGCCTATAAGCGAAATTTTTTTAAAAATATACTGTATTATTCACGAAAAAAAAACTACTTTTTGTTGTAGTAAAGAAATTTCGTTAACGACTGCATAAGTTGATTCTGCTGCCGTTGCAAAAAAATTTAAACTGGTAAAATTATTAAAAGGAGAAGCTGTTGCAACCGAAGTTGAGCTCGTTGAATAGAAAAAGGTTTGTTTTTTTTTGTTTTTTAGAAGGCATTGAAAGATTATAAGAAATAGTAAGAGTATGCTCAATTATTTAATTCTATAAATATCGTTATTGATTGTGATGCTTGAGCGTTATCATGATCATTATTTAATAAATCACTCGAGAAGCTTAAGGGTATTCTCAAGCACAGTAAAACCTCCATAAGTGCACCCTCTATAAGTGCACACCCTCTCTATCAAGTTCTGGTCCAAATATATACATGCCCCTATAAATGCACTTTCTCTTATTAATTTCTAAGTGCACGTTGTTAAAGCTTGGTCCCAAATGCGCGCACTTATAGAGATTTTACTGTATCTCACCCAATGGATCGGAAGCATTTTTAAATTAGTTGGAAATTAAATAAATTAACCAAGAGAGTTACCATTTCGATGAACGAATCAGATGCAAACTACCTTTTTTCTTCAAATTTGACATTGATAAAGGTTGCTCAAGCATTACTTTACATATTTTCATATCAATCATAATAAGCAATGAATTTTAACAAAATTTATGACGATCATAAAATGCCTATTTTATTTATAATGTTAAACTTTTAAAACAAATCGATACCTTGATGCTAATGTAGTAAATACAACTTTTCTTTTAACATTTAACTATACTGTAATGAATATTGTTATAAAAAAAACCGAGAGCCGATGGTTGAATTTAATTTTTCTTATCTGATTTCTTAGGTATTTTGGGTGGTATAGCAAAGATCACAAAAAATATGAAAAATAAAAAGAAAGCATTTAATCCATAAATATCGTCATTAATTGTGATGCTTGAGCATCATCATGCTCATTATTTAATTAACTGATTTAGATGCTTAAGAACACCCTAAAATACATATTTATTACTTTATTATTATAGTCTTTGCTGTTTTCAAAACAGATCAGATTTTAATCAAATATTTATAGGATTTGTTCAAATATACAATATATATATACAAAATCGATGTATATATTATATAAAAATAGTTGCTTTTATTTATAGAAGTTCATAACTTACTGGTAAAGAAAAAGAATATTACTGATCAATATTTACGTAGTTAATTTTGTTCGAAAATTCTTGCACTACATCTTAAATAATTTGTTTAACTATTCTGATTAACAAAATATCAACAAATTTTGGAACATAATTAAAATAGATGCTTGACGATAGTAATACTTCTAATATAGTATCTTGCTTAATATGAATTTATTTTACATTTGTTGTTATCGCTCAAAAAATAATGATAAGCGATCTTTTTTTTTGCCATATATATAATGGTTCTAAGTAATAATTGCGTTAAAGTCTCAAGTTTGATTTTTTTAGAAGTTTATTCAAAAGCGATTGAAAATTAGTGGCTTTTGAGAAAGCCACTAAAATTGCTGTGCCTTGCGTTGTTTTTAAAATCAACAATAAACCAAATATGAAACAGATTTAACATAAAAAAACGAATTGTTTATTTGTTTGTTAGAAGGCTTTTTTCAATGATTACAAATATTGAAAATAAGATTTTTAAATGGCTTAGATTCGATTTCAAAGTCTTTAACCTTTCTCTTCTTTTCTTTTCTTTTCTTTCGAATTACGAATTACATTAATTAACTCGCACAAAGCAGAAAAAAGAAAAAAAAGGGTCAAAATGCCGATTATATCTAACCCGAAAAATCCACGAGCCCCCACAGGCTTTTGGGAATATTTAACGCGTCGACGTGGTTGGGGGTGCGTATTATATTAACTATAAATCTATATATTTATAGATTTACCTAAAAATAAATACCATTCACAATTTGTTTTACGTAGGTATCCCGATGTGATTGATATTTCAGGATCTGTATGGTTTACTTTTTTATAATTGATGATTTTTCATAATCATTCAAAGTATATAACTTACAAAAATTATACATACATAGGTATTTCTGAATCTTGTACCCATTCTTGTTTCTACAACTTTATGGACAACTACTCTCTGTCTTATATACCTTGTATTTGGAATTAATATCGCTTTTTCTGCAAACTTGAGTGTGTATAGATTTATATAAAATAAGTACGTAATATATGTCCATCAAATATCTAAATTTATTAATCATGTAGCCGGCTCTATTGCTGTGGTGGTTGGTCTCCTTTTGGCTTTTCGTACAAACAATGCTTATGATCGATATAATGAGGGACGAAAAATATTTAGCTGTATGTGGTTAGTATCAGCAAAGTACCTGCTAAATCAATACTATTAGTAAATTACGAATTTTAATAATTTATAAATATATAAATTATATATTTAGTACTCATATTAGAAATAGTACGCGTACGCTTTGGATAGGTATTGAAGAACGTGATCCAGTTGATCATCGTAATAAAGAAATACATATCAGATTATTGCTGGCTTATGTCGTTGCCGTCAAGCATCATGTTCGATTAGAATTCGGCACACATTGGCCTGACTTGGAAGACCTTCTTCCTGAAGGTTTTCAGTTGACTTATTATGAGGGTAGTGCTGCATTAGCTGATCCTACCCTAGGATCTGATGGAAAATCTCAATCTATTGCAATTGAAATTCCACATGTGGAAGTTACACTTCGAACATTGGCAAGTAGAGTTCCACCGACTACTTTCTTTAATCTTCGTCCTTCTTTAAGGGGTATGTCTAAAGAAGAGCAGAAAATGTTATACGGTGACAGCGTTGATTTAACTGATGATTTGAGTGAAGTAGATGCGAGCATGAGTCTTCCCTTGGTGATTTTTATTTATTTATTTATTTATTATTATTATTATTATTTAAATTTTGGAGTTTTGACTTTTCTCACAAATTTAGGAAATTATATTTCATTTGAATGTATATGTCGAAAAACAAATTACCGAAGGTAAATTGGATATGGGTAAATATGGTTCAGTCGTCGGAAATTTCAATACCTTAATAGATTCTCTGGGTAATTTGGAAAGAATTGGAAATACACCCATTCCAACTGCTTATAATGTTCATCTGTAAGTAAGGTCTTATTTTATTTTGATTATTTATATTATTAATACACCATATTACACAATTTATAGGAAACAAGCTGTTATTTTATATGGTAGGTCTATGTTTACCTTTGCTTTGACATAAGGACTGGGCCCGAGTAAAAAACATTATCATATAACCACCACAGAAATATTTATTATTTGTTATATGAAATAATATTAATTTTTATTTTTCTGTTTCATGCAGTATTTGCTCTTCCATTTACTATAATTTCTGAACTTGAATGGTTCACTATTCCCACTATCTTCCTTGTCGCTTTTATTCTTTTTGGTATCTTAGCTGTTGGTAAGTATTATTCATTAGTTATAATGTTTATACAATACTAATACTGACATTTTTGATAATGTTTATGAATAATAGGTTCGGAAATTGAGAATCCATTTGGTAAGCCGTAGTGAAGCTTTAGCAAATAAATTTGGAGAAGTTTTTATATATATATTTTTTTATAGGATATGATGAAAATGACCTTCCGTTGGATGATTATTGCAAAGTAAGGATAATTTAATATTACAAATTTCTTTATAAGAATTGGTACTCAAAATTAGTATAATCATAATTTAGGATTTGGAAGCAGAAGTCAGATATTTACAAAGACATCTTCCGACCAAGAGAGTAAAGGAAATCTCCAAATAAATATCATATAATAGATATTGTATAATGTCAAAAAATTTTAGAATTAGTTGAAAATTATATTTATTAACATTGTTTTTTTATTGAGACGTGCAATCTGATTGATGTAATACTCTTTTAACACTAGTAACTTACGTACATACATACATACATACATACGCACATACGAACGAATTAAAATATAGTATTAAATGTTTGATAATTCAAGTGCGTACGTACGTACAGTACGTCAAATAAAATTAAAGTTTTTTCTCGTAATGCACATAGAAAATAATAATAAAATGACATAAATTTTCTAATTTCTATCGATTAAAAAATTGCTTGTTAAATAATTATTTTTCATTTTTGTAAGCAAAAAAAATTAAATTAATTCACTTAATAATCTGTATTTAATGCTGTAATTAATAAGGCTGATACAAACGTCTGGGCGTTTAAATTTAAAGAATAATGATTAATTTGTTAGTTATTTTAACTCTGTTTAAAAAATTTATCGAATGATTTCAAGACCTTCTAAATTAAATTAGCAAAACACAGAAGTATTATCGTGGCTTAGTAACTACAAAAAATGTTGCGACAAATTGATTTTTAAAATAAGGCGTGTTGTGCATGCAATTCTTGAATGTGTGCCAGGTTGGTGGCGCATTAATAAGTCCAAATAATTTACGCTATTTAAAAAATTCTAATGATAATAACAATAATAAAACTATAAATTTTAATAGAATGAAAACACCATTTTTTTAGCGTTATTTCTACTTGAATCATGTTCTTGTTATTTCAAAAAACCACGCTTCCCTTCATTTTTTTTCATAATCTTTAGCTACTAATATTATTGTTTTGAATTCAAAAAAAATATTTGTATTCTTTACTTTTATAGTGTTTATAAATTATAATTTTTACAGACCAAAACGTCAAAGTTCTTAATATTATACGCGTATAAAAAATATTGGCTTTAAAATATGATAAATCTCAATAAACATGTACTATATAGTTTACAAAAAAAAAAGATTTCTTTAAATGAAAAAAAAAACTTTTCTCATAATCTACGCTGAATCGTATCTTAAAAAAGAATAATACTAGTGTCCTTAATTTTAAAGACGTTTCACTTTTATGATTAAAATTTTATAAGCGTTGTTATCCTTACATACTTACGAAATTAGTGTAATATACTTTACTTACATATTAAGCACGGTCAATTCTCTTTATAATAGTACCTTTTTATAATGAATGAACTAAAAATTTTAAAAATTAAATCATTTTTATTATGTCTTCAATCTAAAAAAAAATAGAAAACATTCAAAGTACAGAACGATTGATGACACACATGGCGGAAGTTTTCGTTAAAAGAAATTTTACGAATGCACTGTACATACTGAAATAAAGAGATTATTGTGGCTGTTTAATGCGCCATCAACCTGGCACACATTCAAGAATTGCCATTGCGATTTAAAATGACGTAATAAAAGATTTAAATCAGCTTTAAATTGATTAAATAAAAAATCAGTGATTTATAACATTGTGATTTAAACCCTAGCTTCGAGTATGAAATAAAGATTTCCAGGTTTTATTCATGGAAATTCCATTAATTTAGTATAAGTTTTAACAATGTTATAAGATTTGCTACAGTAAATACACACTGATTTATAAAATAACATACCTCGCGAACCATCTTTGTTTGGCGTTCTTTCGAGTTGTTTTTATCGGCATTCCTATAAATACTTGCACAACTAACTCTTTTTTCTCTCAAAAGGTATCCATCGACAATATAATAAGGCCTTATTGTTATTTGACATTTTCAAATCAAATCATCAATTTCTCCGGACAATTATTCTGGAAATTCCAGCTAAGTATCTTTGAATACAGAGAGTTTTCGTACGAAAGTTAAATTCTGACATGTTCATACACTCGGGTTTCACCAATGTTTTTAGAGATGTTGTTCTCTTTAACCCATTTATCGATCCAGATTTTTAAAGTCTTTTTTTGATTAGTCGATAAACGAAAAACTCTATTTATCAATAGTAGATTTAAAAAATTTGTAGACTATCTTGATTTTTAAATTCTTTAAAAAAATAAGTATTGTAAAATCATAAGGTTTTAACTTTAATATCTATGAATTAATTTTAAATGACAGTCGTTTTGCTTTAGCATAAACACAATATTCATTAATATAATTGAAGTATTTATTTATTAGTCTCATAGAATTGAAGAAATAATTCAAGATTAACAATAAGAGCCGACTATATTATTGATCCATTAATTTTCAAAGAGCTTGTCTAAATCAAACACTACCAACCACACGATGAAATAATTTTAAAGATTAACAATTTACAATAATCCATTTAGTTGCTACCAATCTAACATATTTTTCCAATGGTTTTTCGTAATCCAAACTATAATATTCACTTACGTAATTCAAAGTTCTCTTTTGTTTGCAAAATTCAATTAACGTTTTAATTTGTTTCTCGTGATCAAGGTTACAATTAACAGCTTTTTTAAAAGAGCATAGCAACTATTGGGCAAAAATGTCAATATATGAATCTAACCAAGAAGATGTGTCAAAATATGGCAATGATTCTGCAAACTGCTTAAGTTGCACTTTAAGCACTTCCTCTGGAATGGAATCAACTTCGCAACACAAAGTGAGAAACTGAAGTTTTTGTAAAGTACCAATAAGTCCTATAAGTTGAGTGGAAAACTTAATATATGAAATACTAATAAATGTAATGTTCGGGCAGAAGAATTTAATATCTTTTTAGTAATAAAGAATCATCTTGAATCTCTTGATCTTCAGAGACAAGTTTTAGTCGTTGTAGTGATGATCCAAATTTTTCTAAAATCTGTGTTATACTCGATGTGTCAAGCAGGGAATCAACAATTTCTAAAATGTTCAGCTTACAGAGACTTGAATTTAATATCTTCGATATAGAGTATTAACATTTTCGTAATGTTCTATACGCCTTATACGAAGAATTTCTAAATTTTCACAATTCATTAGCACTTCTAACTCCGAGTTACCAGAATAATTTTCTATTTCAACTTCTCGTGATAATTATTTTTGACTTTCTAAAGCAGAAAAATACCGTAAAAATCTGTATAATCTCCACCGACTATCTTGATTTGCCTAAGTTGCGCTTGTGATTTAATAATACGTATAAGCATTAGAAATACTTGTAGCGTACAATAAGGATAAAATCCAGTAAGTTTCAAAGCACTAATTTCGTAGAATGTTTTTCCAAGATTTCTAATAATTTAATAAAACTTTCTATATTGTCGACGGCTGATGTTCGTACGTTCAAAGATAATTTTAGAGTTGTGAAAAAAATTTCCCGTTTCCTTCTAGTAAATGGAAGATCTCTGGTTTAAGTTCAATAATCTTAGAAAAATGTAAATCTAATTGATGCAAAATAGCACCACTATCAATAAATAATTTAAGTAATGAACTGATTATATGACATATCAATGGATCGTAATATCCAACTGGCAGGAATTCGACCCACTTTATAACCATATACTCTAGACCGAATAAATCAAGAACTTTTAGAAATCTTGCATAATTAAATAGTGTCTTGGAATATTCATTACTTAAATTCCTAAGAATATTATCCATTAATTCTTGCATATCGCCGTAAATATTTTTTGATGCAAGACAATGGACCAACTAGTATGCTACTATTGTTATTGTGGTAGTATGGGGCATGTTGCTTCAACCTGTGCATCCAAGACAGCAGAAAGTAGTAATGAGAGAAATAGATTTTTTCATCAAGGACCTGGAAGTGCTAAAAAATAAACTCTGACTACACTCAGGTGAGATCAATACAGAATTCATACAAAATAAATTTACTAAGAAATGACCAACACCAGAAAAAATATATATTTTTAGCCAATCTAAATCAAATAGAGAAGATTTACTTAGACCTAATGGAGTTGAAAAGATTAGATCACAGCAGAATAGTAATGGGAAAAATCTATACACAAGAAGCAATAAACTTCTGTTTGAAAAAGATAAAACCACCACAGATCATTGTTGACTGGTTAAAGAATTGCATACTATTATTCCCAATGGGGGTGTTAAAACTAGCAAACCAACCAGATTCAAAACCCTATTTATTAACTACAGAGCAGTCTCTATGACTTCAAGAAGAACTCAATCGATTAGTAAGCCTGAAAGCAATAAGAAAATTAGAAACAGGCTCTTATCATCCATCTATTCTTTTAGAGGTCTCACCAATTTTTTTGTACCAAAGTTTGGCCCCAAAAAATACCAACTAGTAATAGATCTAAGAAGGTTAAATCGAACCTTATCGGAGAAGTTATGTCACTTCGAAGAATTGGGTGGACTTCTAAGATCAATTGGAAGGAATTGGTCAGCAATTACTTTAGACCTAAGAGATGGGTACCATCATGTATTACTGAACGAGAAAGTACAACGATTTCTAAAGTTTCATGTAGTAAATTTATAGTATCATTATCAGATATTATCTTTCAGTCTCTTCCAATCAGTTTGAATTTTTTCAAAGCTGCTAAGACCATTAATAGCCCACTGGAGAGAGATTGGAATTGCTTCAGGATCTTATATAGATAACATATGAGTTGCACACCCTTTAGCAGAAAATATAACGAAAATAAGAGACAAAATTATCTTACCAGACTTGATAAAATGTGGCTTTGTTCTAGCATGGACAAGAGCCAGCTAGTACCTTCAAGAAAAATCAAATTTTATAGGCTAATTGTAGATACAGAGAATGCACAAGTAATAATGCTAGCAGAAAAGATAGCAAATATAAGGATCAAGTTGACAAAGATATTAAATATGAAGTCAATAACTGCCAGACAATTAGCAAAAGTAATGGGAAAAATTCAAAGTCTGTCCCAAGCCTTCACCCCAATACAAATAAAGTACATGAAATTCTACTCCCTTCTAGATGTAGCAAACAAAATTTTTGGAAGTGGAACAAAGAGGTTGTAATCTCAGATCAAGCAAGAGAGGACATATTATGGCTGCTAAA